TTTCTGAAAAATTTTGCATTGTGTTGGGTCAGTGATAGTCATATAATTCTTAATACTGGTACATGTATTTAAATGTGTGTGTTTATTTACATACAACAAACAAAATTAATTATTTTAAAAACAAACAAGATGATTCAGTCACAAAACACATGTAACAACAAAACATAAACAGTTCTTGATTGATTTTGCAACATATATTTTAATGACTTACTTGGTACATTTTTACACATTGTTCAGTCTCAGCCATGCAAGTAGCAAGGTGACATCATTCTGTCTGGCACCCTGTAGCCATAATGGTATTGATAAAGAAATGAAGCAACTTATGTAACCTACACATCTGTTCCTTGTCACAAATAAAACACTACCATTACTTATATATATAGCCTGAAACTATTATTTTCCTTTAAATATAAATAATTTGCCATATACTCACCTCAAAACACCAAAATATATCACACACAGCACTTTCTGCCAAAGAAGCAAGGAATCTCTTGGCTAGTGACAGCACAATTATACCTGAAGCATTATGGTCAAAAGTTTTATCACAGATAGTTCAGCCAGCTTGAATACCTTTCCCTAAAATTGATCTTAAAATTCTCTTTAACCATGACTTTTTCCTTTAATATCTTTGTTCTTCTCATATAGCTGAGAAATTTGAACTGAGCAATGATTTTGCCCTCACGAATTGCAACAGTGAAGCCAACTTTTGGAGAGTCAGCCAAATCATTGCCATGGGTCACCCGGTCACCAACGGGTCATAGGATGCTGACCACTGGTGTACACAAAGGGGAAAATACACGTATCATGTGGAAGGTTGAATTTTATCATGTAAATGTTTTACATGAGCTTACTTGCTGATATATATTGATTGTTTTTCTTACCATGATTGCAGCACTGCTCAAAAAAGAAAAAAAAACATTTTCAAATGTGTGTGATTTCAATATATAAATGAAAGTGTTGTTTCAAAAAATAATAGTAGTAATTTTCTTTTGAAAAAGTCTCATATGATGTACAGTGCAGCATGGTATACCATCAGTCGGGGCTACTTTGAACATGTTTTGGCATCAACATACGATCCTGAGCATAATTTTTGGTGTACAACTTTTATTATGGGATTCACATATGGGGACCAACTGGGCCTTTCTATACCTTTGATGCATTTATATATCTTTTCATATTTAACCTATTCCTTTCAGATTCTGTTCAACTATACCCCTTTTTACATTGAAAGTTATTTTATTTTCTTAACCTGCTTCTATGTGACAAAAAAACTCATATATGGCACCACTGTTCCAGTGCACTAATAACTTCAGCACCATACCAGTACACTGAGATGTCTTAAGTAACACAGTAGGTTTCTGTTAACTTATGATATTATACTAAAACACAATAAGATCAATCTACAATTATTACAGCAAGCAAAAATTAAAGATCATATATGCCATTCATCTTCTAGTTAGTTAGTAAGTTTTCTAATGTATTGGCTAGTACACTAAAACATCTTAACACACCAGTTACAGTCTACATCATTGTCTTTGTAAAAGGCTCGAGTTCTGATTCTACAAATACTACACCTCCTTGTCTTGCCTCATTTGCACAACTCACTTTTTGTTCACTAACTGCTTCAATTCAATGTATCCATCATCAGACACTGTGGAGAAGAAGAACTTAGATAGCACGTTATGAGAAGGTCACTTGAAACTCATTTCATGTGTTGGAATCATAATCAGATTTGGTCGTTTTTCCAATGTAATGTCTTTTATTCATATTGTGTCTCACCTCAAACTGTCATCATTTATCATAATGTAAAATACACTGACAGGTCTAGGAATTCTGGGGCTAATTTGAACAGTGTTCAAAGTAGCCACACTTTGATGCATAAGCAGTGGCAGAATATTTAGGTATTATATAGCAATTCATGTTTTTTCATGAAACTAGTAATGCACACAGATACAGGTCCACAGTCAGGACATTTAAGCCACGATTAAAAGGCTTATGAAGTCAGCTACTTTAGACCTTTTCTGCAAGACTACACTAGAGTTTATTATATTATATCGCAATTTGTGTTCAGTTACTTAACATCTAAGCCACAATTAAAAGGCTTATGAAGTCAGCTACTTTAGACATTTTCTGCAAGACTACACTAGAGTTTATTATATTATATCGCAATTTGTGTTTGTATTAAACTAGTAATGGACAAGGATTCATCTATTTCATAGATGCTAAAAAAACATCATTATATATTCAAAAAATAAATTATTTTAATATTTCAGTGTTATAAATAATGATTTAAACATTTTACTTAAATTGTTCAAAGTAGCCCCAGCTGGCAGCACAGCTAGTCCTTCATCTTGATTTGCTTTTCTCTTATGTAGTGATGACTTAATTTAGTATTTGTAAGTAGTTTGTATCTGCATGCAATTTAAATAGGTATAAAAATACACTCACAAACTAATATTCATAAATGTCTATATGTTAGTTACTTGTGAAACAGTTGTGTTGATATATAAATGGAGTTTTATTACCTAAAAGTCATAATGATTGAATAAAACTGTTGTGTGTAATTACTATAACACTTTAATTTTTTAATATCAGTTAATCTGTAGTTCTCTTCCTGATCTTCTCTTATTGCATTAATTTGTACTTATTTTTCATATATAGAATCCTTTATTCAAATCTATAATTGGTTAATTGAACCTTTCATAACTTTTTTTAACCAAAGGGCAGTACTTGCTTGAGAATTTCGTTTTTCAGATTTTATTATACTTGTCTTGATTTTAAAGAAAATTAAGAATTATTGATCCTGTCAAATTTGATAAACTTCTACCAGACAAAAATTGACAAGAGGTAATTTAGAGTTTGAGTAATAAACTGATGTAGATTTGTTCAAGCTTTTGATTGATTTTATTCCTCACAAGAAATTTTCAGTGGTGTAAATGTAAAGACGGCTGTAAAAATATTAGATTTATAGTCAACATTGTTGATTGGGTAGATCCATTGCTTGTTTGCTGATTACTAATTCAAAATCTATTTAACTTTTGTTATCAAGCATCATAGGATGCACAATTTGCAACCCGAGTTTTTTTCCAAAGGATGGAGCTAAACATTTAACCTAACACTAAATTGCTCATTTTGACAATTGTTTTCCAGGTTTCATTTTAGTTGTTTTCTGTGTTTGGCAGTGCTGCTCTATGGTATTTTCTAAAAAATATAAACAAATCTGAGACTGAATGGGATTTAAATATACATCATCATCATCATTACTTCAGCAAGTGCTCTGAATAACTGAAACATCAAACCTCAAGTACCATTACCTTCTGTTTTTCTGAACTTTTGTTATATTCCTGTAGGTATTTCATGCTTCTTTTTATTCTCTTTTGTCTTGTTTTAGAGGAACCCCCTGCAAGTGTTAGCCATAGCTTAATTTACAGTACCATTACTATCACTGAATTTTGGGCGAGTGCCAAAAGTTTTTACACCAGTGAATTAGGGTTATGTTTGCCATACACAGATGGGTTTGAATATTCTTAATGAAGAAATGGCTCTTATATTGTTAGAACTGTATTTTCTTTCTTTGTTATATAATGAAGGTATTCTAATCATCAGTGGAACCCAGGGTAGACTAAAGTGTGAATAACATAACTTAAGGTTCTTTTTTCTTTTGTTTAATAATTGTATTTCACAATTTAGTTTTCTGTTCAAATAAAACCTTCATTAGCTCCTGCTAGACCAACATTTTCCATTTAAAGTACATGCACACACCAACACTTGTTCATCCTCTGGTAGTATATTGCATTGTATTGTGTATATTTGTATTATCTGCACTAGAGCCAATAAATATTTGCATTCTGTGTGAAATCTGCATCAGTCTCATTCTGGGTGATCCAACTGTTGCACTCATTGAGAAACACATCCGCATACAAGATCCGCAAGCCTCCTGTTTTTGTGGGCTCGGACTTCTCTTCTTTACTGGAAATCCATGAGATACCAGAGTTACACCATCTTAGGTTTTAATGAACTGCTTAGGATAATCATTAGCTTGAAAGAACTTGTTAATGAGACAAACTTCTTGTTTTAAATTTTGGGCATCACAGGTTTTCTCTGCTCTCATTTGGAAATGTTTAATAATTATCCAAGGTTGTATAAAGTTGCTACAGAGCAATGTTTCTCTTTATATGTATTAAATTAAAATCTAATCTAGCAAAATTTTAAAATTATTTATTGGTCTTGAACAGTTAAGAACAAAATTTACCTCATATTTTGAGTCATCCTTTTTTATTGGAAAATTAAACAATTCTTTTATTAAAAAAATTTAACTGAGACAGGTTTACATACAATTTATTCTTTTGGCAGTGTATTGTTGTCTTTTAACCCAAGTACTTTTATAGACAATTTCTAAAATGTTTTTGCTCTCCATTTATCAGTACAGTAATCCTGATTATACATCTGTTCAAAATATAATTTTCAAACAGGAAAAATATTACTGAATTATTCGGCTACAGCTATTTGTGAGGATATGTAATTTTCAAATTTAAATTATATTACAGTAAAATTTGTTAAATAATTATTTGGGAAAAGAGGAATAGATGCTTTCAATGAAAAACAAGTTTCAAATCATTTCTTTGGATCACAATTTCTACATATGGAATATTAATATATGTTAAACTGAGTAATTGAATTATGACAAGAAATATAGTGGTTCTTTTTCTAAGTATATATTAAAGGTTTATGTGGGCTTAACAAGTTTAGATTGAAAAGCCTTTTATTTTCTTCAAAATAGTTATTAAGCATTTGAATTATTTACGTTTTCACAAAACCTTTGGACTTGTTTACAACAAATAATCTGTAGTTTGTTACTTTCACATATGTTTCGAGATGTGATTGCAGTCAGAGAAAAAGTTAATGATAAATACCATTAGTAACTACAGCTCATCAAACTTTCTGTAATGGCTGTGAAATTCAGACTCTTTGTTAAATGCAAAATACCATATAGATGAGTGTTTAACATTGCAAGAAAAATATGTTTTATTTCATTAATAATAATAAAAAAGGCTATTTCACTAACACATTACGTATCCCAGCTGCAACAGCTCTTGCATATATATACATTTACGTATACTACGAAATAAAAAAAAAACAAGATCACAGTTTTAAACTCCATTTTCAGTTTCATTATAAACCTTAAACGTAAAAGATGAAATCGCTGTTGCAACATACCAAGTTATTTATTTGGATAAATAATGTCGTTATAATATCAAGAGTATTTTTTTTTCTGACTTTTAAAATCAGTTTAGGTCAGGTAAGCTATATATTTTGGTGTTAACAGCATCTGGTACTACTCAAACTTATGTGCAACTGCATACACAACATACCCAGCAGTCAACTGTGTCTGACCTGTTAATTACTTGTATACACTGACGCAATTGAAAATATTTACCCAGCAGTCAATAATGTCTTATACTAAACATATCATTTACATTTACAATAATGTGAATGAAAAAAACACATCTTGCCAAGCATCAGTGATGTCTAACACTATGTGTCATTTACAGAAACACTAATGTGTGATTATCTTACATAACATATTTGGTGATTAACAGTATCTGATCTTTTCATCCCACACCTAAGTAAAAATGTGGTTAAAATCCTAAACAAATTACCATCATCAAATGGATAGGGCAAGTTTCAATTATTAGGAAATATTTTATAACAAATAGAATTTTGAAAAAAAAACGATCTGGATTTGTGTACTGCTTAATCTTTAAGCAAACTTTATTTAATTCTTTGAAGTTATTTTTCCACAAAACTTTATACTTTGATACTTTTTCACAAGTATCTTTATCACCTTCTGTAACAGTACTTTCCTGGAAGTTATTTATCAAATATTATCTTTAAACTAAATTATTTTGAGTTTATTAATGCAGATGGTTTTCCTGTTTCTTTGTTTGAAATACTAATTCAGTTCTTTCATGTCACAATAACAGAAGTAGGCGCTTTTTTACTTTCTGAATTATCACTAGGTTTTGAGTTATTCTTGAAATTAGCATTACTAGGAATGGAAACTGTGTACTTCTTCTTGTAAATCCCAGATCGAGTGACAAGTGTTGACAGAGAATCACAAAGATTGGACAGGGGCTTAGAAGAAGAAGAATGGATAACAGTGCTAGCAGAAGAAGCAAGTCGATAAACTGATATATTTTCTGGGGAAGAATTACTTGAAGTCAATGAACTAGAGCTACTACAGCCCCTAAGTCGAATCACACAATGTTCTTTGGTCTTTTCTGGGGTATGTAATGATGGTACAGGTTTTGTATTATCAAATATTTGTAACTGATCCCATAATTCTACATCAAGATTTGTCTGTTTACTATCTTCCAACTTCTTTGGACTTGTTTCTGGTTCTTCTATTTTAGTTAGTGCTGTCTGAGTCACAGGTGTATTAACTGGAAGATCAATAATAAGTTTTTCCAAAACATCTTGAGTACTGTTTGGTTTACTATGCATCCGTTGTATATGAATACGACAATCAGACTTGGTATAAGACTGATAAGAACACAATTTACACTTAAAACGTCGCACACCAGCATGCACTGCCACATGACGCTTTAAGTTTGAGACAGAGGAAAACCGCCTGTGACATTTTTTACAAAACACATTTTTGATATCTATAAACTTTTGTGCATTTTGAAAAGGTTCATTATTTACTTGTGTCATTTTTGATGGGCTTTTTTTATCATGTTTCCAACCCCGTCTAAATAGAGTTTGGCTATTTACAAAATCTTCAGGCACTTTTTTTTCTGCTACCCGCTTAGGTCGAGAAATAACATTTGGTGTAACACTTATTCCAGTAGAAGGTTTAATTTGTTGCTCTATTTTATCTCCTACTGACCGAAACTGATTACTACAGTAGAGTTCATGAGAAAGTTGTGATGATTTACGCATAAATTTTCTCCCACACTTGTAGCATGTGTGCAACTGCAATTTATTGTTAATATTATTAGTGTTTTCTGAAGAGTCAAGCTCTTTTCTTTTCTTGCCATCTTGAAAGTTTCTATTTCTAGTTTCTTCATAAGAATAGCATTTTACTTGCTTTTTCAGTTCTTTTAACTGTGCTTTGGTTTTCTGATGATTGTGGGTTAAATGACGTGTTAATCCCCAGATCTGAACAAAAGTTGAATTACAAAACATGCAAGGATATACTATTCGTTTTTCAGCATGAATTCTGGTCATATGGTAGTAAAGGGTGCTTATAGAGGCGTAATGTGTTTCACATCTTAAACAAGTCAGTGTCTGGATATCACAGTCTGTGCGGTTTGCTAGTTGTTTAGCCCTACTTGATGAATGTGTTGGGGATACAAAACATTCAACATGGTTTTTTTCTTTTGCTGTGCTTTCATGTGGCAAGACATCTGGAATAACAACTGTGTCCTCTTCTTTAGTTGGCATTTCTCTTTCTTCTGAAATATTTTCCAGCTTTTCAGAATTTTTATTATCCAGTGTTTCAAGTGGTTTGATTGTCTGCATCATTGCATTGGAATTTCCAAAAATTGGTTGTAAATAAACAGACGATTCTGTCATTGGCAGCTCCTTCTCTTTACTAGTATGCTCCTGGTGACTGCTTGTATGATCCTTACCTGGACCTGGAGACACTACTCCTCCAATACTTTTGGCTGCTTCCTTAGTGGGTGTGTAAATTTTTGGAACAGAAAGTTGTATTATAGGTTCTACACATGTGTCTATGACCTGGTCATTGGAATTTATATCTTCAGGTTTGCAAGCCATATCTGGGTAATTTTTATTTTGTTCTTCCTCTTTTGGACTTTCTGGCTGAACTGTTATCACTTCTTCTGGAGGGTTCTCAAACAAAAGAACCATTGATTCACAGAGATGTTTCTTGCAGTAAAAGCGTTTGTGAGCCAAAAGGTTTGCCAGACTTCGAAACATGTTTCGGCAAACCTTACATTCATAAATAATGCTACATTCATTTAAGATTATGTCTCTTACTTCCCGTGTACCACTCTGCAAGCAATGCAGAATCTGCCGAATATCCTTAGTTCCTAGGTTTAAGGGAGTCTGAAGAAGAGAATGATCCAGTTCTTCAAAGTTTGATGAAGTGTTATTATTTGTACTTTCCTGGCTATTTCCAGTATTTTTAATAGGATTCTTCCCCTGCACTTTCTTCTCCATATTTATCCTTTATCAGCTGTAAAAATATAAAAAATGAAACATCTGATCAAATAAAGTCACTTTTTTTGTAGCTTTTAAAAATAAAATTAGATAAAAGTGTATTCTAAATATCAAAATATGCATACAATAACATACTATGTTATGTCTCAGGATGTTAAAAATCTCCCTTAATCAGGGACATAGAATGTAGAATATGTTTTCAATACTAGTGTTCTGAGATTGGTGCTCTTATCCAGTGAGCTACTATAGCAAAAGTTCTCCATCCTGACCATTACAATCACTGTAAGTTAACATTTTCCTAACTTGAAAATGTATTTCCGATAGATACTTACCTCTCACACAAAATAGCTTTCTCAATTAGTGCTGCCCTCTATCAACATAAATTTTCAGAGCTTGCCATTAGCCTTCCACCTTTCCGCTTCTACATATTTACATGATTATGCAGCAGCTCTCCACCAATACATTTTCAGGTTTGGAAATTGTTAACTTTCAATACAATATCTTACCTCCTCTCACTAGAATCCCACATTGAACTGGTGGAGTGCCTAAAGAAAGACCATGAGGTGGGAAGTCATAAAAGAAACTATCATTGGGAGACCGCATCACATCTGATCCAGGTATACTCTTTGCTCTTTTATGACTGTATCTTGAACATAAAAGGTGGAAAAACATGAAGGAATTCCATAATACATATTACCGATCAATGGTACCCCTGGATGTCAAGTGGCTAGGGCACAACAGACCATAAGGGTAGTTTGACATCAATCAACACTTGACGATATATGTAGTTACACATCAGTACTACAGTAGGTAGAGGATCACCTACCTCGAAACAGGAATTAGTAGGAAAGATGAACTTCGATACAATCCACCAGAAACCCACATCCATTGGATGGAAGGAAGGTGGAAAACCCCAGTAAGATGAAATCTCCAGTCCAAAATATGGCAGCACTGGGAATGGTTCTTCCAGTCTGCAGTAAGAAGAAGATACCCGGCCATACACAAGTAGGAATACTTGTGCTGCATCCAGCTACAACCAACACCAGATCTTCCTGGAACCAACATCCAGCAGACTGTAGGAAGAAGGACCGCAAACCTGGGGAGTGAATCTCCAGTCCAAAACCTGGCAGCATTGGGCAGTTATCATCTAGGCCATGGTAGGAGGTAGAATACCAGCCAGAACACATGTGAAGACTTACTTAGCCAAACCATCTATAACCATGGTAGGGAGGAGGAATGTTACAGCCTGAGGGGCAAACTGCAATATATATAGTCATGACATGGCAGAATGCTTCAACCAAAATCTGATGATATCCACAGGTCCACAGTAGGAAAAGTGTCAATGCCACAGAGCATCAGAGGTGGGCAGCAATCCCTGTCTACTTCTTTACTCATGTGTGTCCATGAGTGTATGGTCTTGGACGAACATAGTTATGAAGCAAAAGACCACAAGATAGAAATACTAGCAGTCCTCCAGAGCACCCCATCTCTATGGTGTGCGTAACCTAATCCTGCAACATAACTGTTTTGAAATAAATGATAATTTGGCAGCATCTGGAATTGTACACCAGGTCCACAGTAAGAAGGGCTACAACATAAGTGACATCAGGCATGGTCGCAGGATGGACAGTGCAGATTTAAAAAAAAAAGCATATATGGTCAGATTGGAACCTACAATACACTAGCAAAAAGCTGAAAAAATAAGAAAAGTTGGAAATAGCAACATTTCACAATGTACAAATACAAACAAGTAAAGAAACAGTAAAGAAAAACTAAGTCTGTAGTATAAAGGAAAATGTAAACAAATTTGCGAGCAAAAACAAGCACGTCTGTTCAGTGCCACTGAAAATCAAGAAGTGATTAATGAGTGCAAATGTGGAGAGGGCACTGGTTAAAATAGGGGTTGTGTCACACTCCTATTGTTGGAGAACTGTTGCATAATGATTTACATGTATATATACAAAAGTGGGAGGTAGAAGGCTAGTGGGCAGCACTGAAAATCTGTGCCGATAGAGTACTAATCAAGGAAAGCTCTTTTGTGAGAAGTAAGATATGGTATCAGAATTATGTCTAACACTGAGTTCATATGAACATCCTCTTACTAAATCACGAATACAATAAAATAATTCAATCATTGTATTTACATCTGCTTTTAAACATTATGCTGTATTTATTAATATAAAATGTACAAATGATGCTATAACTTCAGTTACATACATATATCCATGGATCTTCAGAATTCCTGTTATATTGTGAAAATAACATCCCATTAATATGATCATATGCATAAGTATCAATTAGTTTTCAAACATTGAAAATTAGCACATTAATAAATGTCAGTATATTTGAATCCACCATAATGTCTCTATTTCATTCACAGAAACATACACTAAAGTTTTTGATATAGTGGTACATAATGGTCATAATCAATCTGATAATAACTTTACATAAATCTTTCTTTATGGCTTTATATGCTTTTTCAGTAAGAACAATATAAATTCATCTAGAACATGCACCTAGTGTATCTTCCTTACTCTCAGTATCAAGAGCTCATCAAGTTCATAACAGCTGAGCTCTGGTATTAAGTAAAGGCCTTGTTGGTAGCAGTATGAGGTATATAATGTGGCAGTCAAGATGTTCATCTCAATGGAAACCCCTATAGGGCTGGTAAAGAAAAGTTTTTTGAAAATTATTATAAGCCTTATTGTGGTGTAATGTCACAAATATAATTGATCTATAGATCGCTGTCAGGTTTTATAAACACCTTGATTCTTTACAGTAACTGTCTGTGACTTACTGATGAGAAATTTCAAGAATAAACAGACAACATGTAATCCATTTGTTTTAAAATAATATGTTCAAAACAAGTCAAACTTATGTACAAAACTTCATTACATTATTGGTTATCACAGTTGTATCCAGAGCTTTAAATAATTGTCTCTTTTTTCATCAAAGTCCACATATGCTGGTTCAGTTACTTGAGAACCCAATTGATAAGACATATTCTTCTTCTCTACTCTTATATTACAATACAATCTTCAATTCTAACACTTTAAGTGTCACCACTATACACTCTTTAAGTCTTGGAAAAGACAAATTAGGCTCCAGTTAAGACAGTTAGTTTTCTAATAGGATGACTGGCTTATGGAATGAGTTGCCACTGGCAGTTATGGAGGCTAGGCCAGCACTTTGTAGGAGTTTAAAATGAGTATCTATAATTTCCGAAATAATAAAGGCTGGGTTAAAGTTTTTACTTTTTCTCAAGGGTGGGTGTGCTGGGACTGCCTTGAAGAACCAAAAGGTTCCTTGTTGTTCACATGTTATGCTACGAGTAGTTTCTGTAGAAAACTTATTAGTGACCTTCAGGCTTAGTATTTTATCACATTGTTGCAACAGTGGTTCTTATAGTTAACCACACATATATAATTTGTTAATTCCTATACCCAGTAATGACTTGTCTTTTGCTATACACGAAGCTGTACTTGACCCATTAAAGTCATCCACCAAAACAACCAATCGAATCATCAAAATCAATGGCACACATCACATCCATATATCTACCTATTTGGCAAATGATCCAAATTAACATAATATGCTATACTAGCAGCATGAGTCATACCATGAGGAAATATCACTAACAATGAATTATTTTTTTCAAAAGCAAAAATCAGGATCTGAGCTTTACAGTTTTAACTCATTATTCATGTTATTCAAATCAAATTTTGAATCTTCTCATTCTGCAACTCAAATAAAACAAGAATATGTCAAATATCCTACAATAGCAGTTCCCAAACTGTAGGTCATGACCCACTGGTGGGCTGCAAGAGGTATCAGGGTGGGTTGCAGTCAAGACACATTAAAAGGTAATTATACTTTTGTTTTAAAATTATTTATTTAAATAATTATCCCAATGTGTCTTTGAACAAACAAAACAAAAACACAAATTATAAAAGCATTACTACTTTACTGAAACATATACTCTCCCAGTTAAGCATGGGTTTCAGAAAAGAACATGGCTACTCATGATGATTATGAATTGGGAAACCCCTGTCCTACAGTAGCTCCTTAGAATTTTTAAAATACAAATGACTCATTTCTAGTTCTTCTATGTCTAAGAGAAATTGTTTAAAACAAGTAATTAACATAACAGAAGAATTAGAATAGGCAACAACACATAAACATTAAAAAAGGGAGAGAACAAAACCTATGGACAACAAGGAACTACTTGGTTCTTCTAGGCTGTCCTTACACATTCCCCCTTGAAAAAAAAGTAAAAACTTAAAATCCACAGTTTACTATTCATACAGCAAATTACTGATTCCTCTATTACAATCACGTAAAGTGCTGTTTCCACTGCTGCTGACAGTAACTCATTCCTTAAATCAGTCACCATGCTAGAACACAAACTATATCTAACTGGAGTCTAGTCTGTTTTTCTTAAACCTGTCTCCTCTCATCCTACTATCTTCAGAATACAGCACAATAAATCAGAAGCCTATCAATCCCACCAAATAATTGTGTAAATCTCAATAAGATCTTAACTTTTCTTTCTCAATATAAAATAAGTTAAGAGATCTTACTTTATCCTTGTAAATTATATAACCCTTCCATCCCTGGAATCATCCTAGTAGCCCTTGTTTGAACTTTCCAGTAAATCAATATCCTTTCTTAGAAAAAAAAAGACCAAAATGCAGCACAGTATTCCAAGGAGGCCTAACTAGTAGCTTGTATAAAAATATAGTTACATATTTTGACTTGTAGCCAATGTGTCTACATATACACCTAAAATTCTATTAGCTTCACTACTAGCAACAAAGCATTGCCTCAATCGCTTGAGTGACTTATCCACCACTATACCAAGATCCTTTTATTCTGTCAAAATACAGAGTTTGTTCCCATATAAGTTAAACTTGTGATTCAAATAATGATACCCAAATGTTTTACTTTTCCCATGCTATAATTAAAGGTAACTTCTGAAATATGTCTTCATATTACATACTGATGCAAGCCATGCCTCAGCCCTTTAGGATCCTCAATGAAATTTTATGATCAATAATATTTCTAAAAGAATTTCAGTTTTATATTCATAATTTCTCTAGCATGTTGGACAAATAGCCATGGCCTATTTTTTAACATGTTGATATTCTTCTTGTAGCAAAGGACCTCACCAGAATCATATATAAAGCTATAATAACCACTTTGTCAAAAATTCCTGTAAGCAAAACAAAATACTTTATCTCTTCTTTACACTACAGACAAACACTCAGTGGACTGCTTTAAGGCTTATCAAATGTCACACCTAAATCTCTCTAAATTAACAACATCTATGCCCTTCCTACACAAGTCCTTTTAAAACCTCCATACTCCAAATGTGTAATTTTTGCACTTCTCAATAATAAAACTTAATTTTCACTTTCTAGCCCATTCAATAAGATTATCAAGATAGCTTGGAATAAGAGACATGTTCTCAATAGAATTCACTTTTTTTAGTTCTGTATCATCAAAAAAGCAAATTTAGAAATAACACTATCCAAAAAGCTTCCAAATTTTTAATACAAATTAAAAACAATAAAGGTCCCATAACATAAACTTGAGAGATTTCATTGCTTACTTTCTCCCAGTTGCAAAAGTTCTTCTTCATTACCACTCTTTGATTTCTACCACTAAGTTAATTTTCAATCAAAATGCATCTAGTTTATGTATTAAAGAATTGTGAGAACCAACTAAAGACTTTCTGAAAGTCAAAGTGTACAACATCAATGGAGAGCCTTCATCCAAGTAGGAAGAGGCCTTGCAAAAATTACACTTAAACAAATTGTTTACAAATGAAAAACCATTTTCTAAAACTATGCTAAGAGGAATTAATGAAATGCTAACTTTCTAAATTATTTTCCACAAAACTGCTGACAACAAATTCTAATACTTAGTTAACAACAGAAGTCAAACTAGTTAGCCTATATGTACTTATAGTTTTCTGGTTTCTCCCTAAACCCTTTCACTTAAAACAAAAAGAGGGATAACACTTGCAATTTTCCAATTTTAGAAATTTTAATGGTGTAAAGACAATTGTGAAAAATAACAATTCAAGTTCACATTAAAGTTTTCTTATTCTCCTTGTAAGTTTTAGGATAAATCTCTTTATGACCAGAAAATATGCTCTTTAAAAGTTACTCAAATTTAAAAAAAAATATATTTCCAAACAGAATTTAAGGAAAAATTCTCCCCATCTCTACAAAAAACTAGAGAGCTTGGAAATCTTGCTCTCACAATCAGTAAAAACACTTGTGAAGAAATTTCTTTAGTATTTTACATATAACAAGGTTCCCTTTAAAACCTCTGTTTCTAAAGTTAACACAGATATAAAAACTCTTCAAATTAAATTTTGGGCTAAGATTCTCTTATTTTTCTTGACTTCTTTTTCTTTGTTTCTAGAAATCTTAATACCTTCTGTTCTACAAGTGAGTTTAATGTTCATGTAAATTCAACATTTTTCATTTATTACTAGCAGAAGTACAATTATTTACATTAATTTAAGGAATGATTTTCTTTTGGAACACAAAATCCTGGTAGGAATATATTCCTTTTCATACAGTATCTTCACTGAACTAACAAAAACATCCAACATTCACAGAAAAAAAGGGGGAACAATTTTGAGTATTCATTGTGACTTTAAATTAAAATCTTATCAAAATTTACCAGGTTTACCTCTTACTTTATTATCAAACAATGCTATAAAGTAACTGAAAAACTTTCAGTTTTATTTATGCAAGTAGTCATGAAATGTATTAATTGATATAACATTAATGAAACTCAACTCTAAAATCTTAAATTTTCAAAAATGAATATAACAATGCTCAATATTTTCTTTCTTTATGAGAAATATATTCAAATTATTATCATTATTTATACCACCAGTCTTCTTTTTCATTATATCAGTTAATTTAATCCCATATAAGAAATAAATGTTTTCTATTTCTAAGATCAAAGTTAATGTTTTATGCAAAGAAGATCTATAAAATTCATGGACTATTCTGGAAAACTGTTAATAAACACTTCAAGCTTTACTTAAATTGTCAGTAGTATTAGTCTCATGCTGCAGTTTATTTGTTTTAATTTAAATTCAACACACTGAAATATACTGCTTCATTCTGAATAATACAATCCACTTATAATTAATGAAACTTTACATATTTAAACATATACAACTGATTATAGTTGAGAATGATTAACAACAAGATATCTATCAAAAATAATACATAAACAAGGTAAAAGATTATTTTGAAATAGCCATCAACTTATAACTTGGGGTTTTCTTTCCTTTTTTTCTTAAATTTTACCTTTCAAATAAAATATTTTACAACTACAGTTTAATTCATATCAGTTAAAGAAAAACAAAATAACTTAATCCATTGACTATGCATATGAGTTTGCAAGATATTTAGGGTTAAACATATATATATATATATAAAGTTTTAAAATAAAAAGAAATAATAATTTTATTCATAACCTACACCACTGGTTTTTAAGTAAAAGACAAAACATGGGCAGAAAGTAGATGACTGGATAACCTGTATTTATTTCAAGATATTATGTCAATGATTATCAATTTTCATTATCACTATAAAGTTCAACGCAGAGTATTACTAAGATAAAACTAACATGGTAACTTTTTTTTGTTTTTTAACGCACACAGCTTTTCTGGTTAATGGTTATGAATGTGCTATTTAACTTACAATACAAGTAACTTATCGCGGACAACGGGTGTGCACAATCATGGCCGTGGCTCGAGCCCATTCGGAGCGAAGTAGAACACCCACAGATTAGTAATTGAATCTACATAGAAAAAGTTCAGAAAAGGCATACAAAATTAAGATAAAGTTTCTCAAAGTGTTGTTATAAATATAATCAAAGGAAGAAAGATTACTTACGTTAATTAGTCATTATCAAGTACACCTATAAAACCTTCGCTTTGTGCTGTGCATTACCACCATATATTTTTAACTCGTGTTATGCAACGCACACTGAGCAAAATCTGTAAATGTTAGGCTTATTCAAATTATATAGAGTTTGTGTTTTAACCACTCTTAATAATAGTAAAAAATAAAACTAGAAGCGAACAGCGTAAGATTTCTGATTTAGAAAAAATATTTTAAAAAGAAACGTACCGTTCCAGAAAACAACGAACAGGAACGACACAGTCCAATACAAGATATGAACCACCAAACGCGTACGATTTAGACCCTAATGAAAAAGAAAGTTTCTTCGAACCTAACCACAAAACATGTCAATAGATGGCAATAGCATCCGATATACATAATATTACTCATTCGACAACTTGATACTATTATTTGTCCTCACTGTGGGTTTGTCTTTAAATCTGAGTGCTTTATTTATTTATTTATTTTACAATTAATTACGTAATTATCTTACTCCATACCTTTTATAATAAAAATAAGAGGCCTGAAAAACATCATTTCTCTGAATAATTTCACTATACTTAAAAATAACCTAAACTATATACGAAAAGTTTGTTTTTAAACATTCTATATGTATTTCTAAACAGTATTTGAGAAAATACTATGTTCACTTATAACTGGAAAATCGCTGGACCACCTGTCACAAAACATTGCATGTACCATTAAGGCTCCTGAAGGTATATCACAGGGGGACGGTATTCATATCTCACTCCTCTCCGAGCCCCAATGTCTTCACTCTACTTTATGTCTGCTTATGACGGGCTAACCGCTGGACTGATTGTCATCAAACCTGGCATATAAGATTAGGTCCCTCTGAGGAATGACATAATTATGGTGGTTCGTGTTCAGGTCTAATCTATCTATGTCGTTCTTGTGCATTGAACGTGTACGTCAGCTGGTGTACATATGTCATATATTCTCTCCAAATCCCAGTTAACGGTGCATAACATGACGCCATTGGTCTTGATATATCATAATGTATATATGTATATCATATGCTTCTATTAACAAATGTGCTCTTTTCTTATTCTCTCCAAATCCTCATTATACTGTATAATACCAAGAAACAATTTTTTTTTTTAAATATACAGCTTTTTTTTTCTTTTGCTGTATAAGATAAAGCTTGTTAATATATATTAAGGACTGAATGTCAATATAGTGTTTTGGTTTCTTAAAATAGGTATTAGTTTATTATACTGTTAACGATTATGGATAAAATCATGTGTGCACATACACTAATTTTGTTTCAGACAAAGGGGATAAACACCGAAGATTAGAAAGCACGAATAACTTTTTTCGAATGGCTAAGTATAAAAGAACTGTCCGTAATTGATCACATTCAATTTTCAATAGAGCTAATTATGGTAAGCGTTGTTCCGATAAAACACAAAACAGTAAGCAAACGAACACTAATTGTGTGTGTGTTTAATTCGTAAATGTAGTGATCTTTCTAACTTGTTATGTCTATTTTGCTATCTTTCATTCCCTCTCTGTTCACATATATACATGTAAATTGAGTGGAAGAAGTTTCCAAGGTAACTGTTATTTCGTTACATTTCCTGGATTACAAAATCATTACAAATAAGGGACTTTTATCATGAAACTATTTTTCGCTTATAGTTTCCGGGAATTCTGGAATACATCTCGATCATGAATTGAATGTTGTAATTATGCACATAGGTTTGTATCCTGCACAAGCAAGTAGGATTTCACTGTTCAGGAGTGTTAATTAATTGCAGTTCTTAACTTTAAATTGTGTACAAGAAGACTTAAATGAATTTTTGTTTTATTTTTCAATGACAGATTAGAATAATGGAAAATAGACTTTAGTGTTGTCGTGCTCTTTGTGTGTGTGTGTGTGAATAAACGATAAACCACTGCTCTTTTAATGTTCTCTACACGTTGATGTTGAGTAACATTTCCGGAATCGTGTTCTTCGAATACTTCTAAACTTATTTACTGGATGTTAGTGAAACTAAATAATTTGCAAAAGCAATTTTTGTCTTAAGACGGGCATGCAAGATCATACCTTTAAGTCTGGTATATTTGTATCATTTTTTTTCAAGAGCTAAGTGATGAAATTATATTTTAACACAGCACAGGAAGTGACATGGCTGTTTGGATGTTTTCTGTTCTGCTAAGTATTTGGTCTGAGTAATTCTTAAGGTAAATTTGATGCACTAGATTTTAGGAACTTGGTACTGATCTACAGAGCCATAACACGATAACCCAAAAATTGGTCAAACATAAACATAGATAACGCATTGTTAATAAGTTATAGCCTTAATGGCTTGCCATAAAGGTGTGGTAACGGAGTTTCAGTTGTTTCTCACACCATAACTTAAAAAGTGTTTATTCTTAATCAAAATATTCTTCATGTGAAGATGAGACGAACCGTGCGTAAACCGTTCAACTTTGTCTGTCTGTCTAAATTTTATAAATTATGTCTGTCGATCGCATATTCAACATATTGTCATTAAACACAAGATCTGAATAGACGTTGGTATGAGGTCAAAGTCATAGGCAGGACCGTCGAGAAATGGGGCAATTACCCCGGGACACAAAGACAGTCACGGGAATCACCAAAAATATACTGACAGATCCAATGGAAGGTGACACAGGGAATTGTCCTGAAAGAAAGGAACTGCTAGGAAAGACTTGTCTTTCCTTAATCCAAAACTTATACTGACCCATTATGTGTGTAACTCGAAGTTACGAGTGCCCAAACTAAGTTGCTAGGTTGATATTCGACACAGTATGAACAGAACGATTTTTTTTCTTTACCAAGTGCGAATGTCTGTACGCTGGTAGCTGTTTCTCCTACTTAGAAGTTAATAATGCTGTAACATTACCTGGAGTTGTCTTACAATAATAGGGCATATGGAATTATTTTAAGTTTTAATAAGGTGTTGTGTTATTGCGAAGTAAAACTAACTTATGCTCAGTTACTATTTTCTTGGCTGTGTAGTATATATTAACACTGTAAACATAACCTAGGATCCTCCACTAGGCAACACCAACCCACTAACAGTACTATAACTATAAGTTACTTATCTATAAGTGTAAGTGGCATGAGTGTCCGCAAGAAGGGGGAGGGGGTCACTTAACCCCCCTGAATTTTCAAAAAGAAAAAACTAGATATACAAAAAATATTCTTCTATGTTATTGTAAAATCATAAGGTATATGTATTTCTATTTCATAATTTTTTCAAAATTCAGTTACTTGACCCCCTAATATTTTTTCTGCAGGCACCCTTGATAAGTGCAGAAGGTACTCCATCTTATTGTTCTAGATAAATTATAATTTATATATTATTATTATTATTAAGCAATATAATGATTTAATAATATTGAATTTTTTTGTTGTTGTTTTTATAAAAGGACAATAGAAGATCAGTGCATTATTAGAAGTGATTTAATTTTAAACCAAGAAAAGGTTCTGAGATTGGTACATATATATAAAAAGGCTTTGCTGTATGGAAATTCAGTGACATAACAATTAAGACTCAATGCAAGTTATGTTACCTTTTTTATTCTGTAATGATGGATAAAGCATATTTTAGCAGGAATTCTTTCAATGGCTGGAAGAAATACATTCTTGCAAGTTTGTTGGAACTCATGGGCCAAAGCATTAATCAGAGGTATTGCTAAGTGCTGACACACAAGGCCCATGCTCTGATTCTGTTTGACAGTGACCCAAATCTCCAGTTGGTATCTTGAAAAATCAGAATAGAAAACCATGATTGATATACTGAAATGCTGAAAATTTCCATTCCTACAGGCCCAAGCCCTGAATCTTTTAAGCACCTAGCAACATCTGGCACTAATTGACAAACTTTAAATATATATTAATAATTCAGACCTTTACAAAATAAGTGTTGTTAGTAACATCTGTAAAAAGTACAAAATGTAGTTTTAAAATGTTATTTTTTTTCCTAAAATTACAGTGAGCCTTTCATATTAAATTTCTTAGTTTTTCATTTAAAGTCACTGAGCCAAAAATATTTTATATATATCTTATTTAACAAATATTTTTTTCTAACAATGCATCAAATCAGAGCAACTATGCTACACATCATGGGCCTAGCCTGGCCTAGTAGTCAGCTTACTTTGAGCGTAAATCTGAAGGTTAATAGTTTACATTTATTTACCTCAAAATAAGTTCTGCACTTGGTACTGTGAGTGCACTATAAGAGTTATGGTCAAATCACACCATTTGGTCACACAAGAGTTGGATGATAACTTTTAGCTTTTGACTTTAACTGGTGATTTCTCATTATTTTAACTTTGCAAAGTATGTTGCTAACTTAAACTTTAAAGGAATGTTTATGTACTTTGAGGTAAATGGTAGTTTGAGTAGGCTTGAATGGGAAGATAATATTCAATCTACTGACTACTTTAAGGAAATCTATGTACCAGAAAATACCACTTCACCATCAGACAATAAAGAAAATGTTAATGAAAGAATTTTTCTCTTTCTTAACAGATCTCCAATCTTTTGCTTTTGAATATACCATTAAAGTGATCTCAAATATTTTACAATAGGTCATTAAAATTGATAGAGACAGAAGTTGGCTAATCACTGTAACATTTTATGTTCACTCACTGAAACCATTTGAAATTATTTACATTAACATAATGATTAATTATTTTTATATAAAGTATAAGGTAAACCAACACACTATATATATATATATATATAAACACACACACACGCATCTCTTCATTTTATGAAAGAACTCAAAAAGATTGCTTCATTTGGAACTGTAACTGCACAAACTATAGATTTGTGCCCCAGGTTTATTGTATGTATTAAAGATATCAGTTGAAAGGCAAGAGCTACAAGCATATAATATTACAGACTACCTATATGCTGGAACTAAATGGTATAACAACACTGTTTGAAATTTTGCAGAAGTATGAATTTAATTTTGCTGATTTAGAATGTGATAGATTCTTGCTGTTTTCTTTAGATTATCAATATTAGGGTAATTTGCAAAAAAAAAAAAGTAATTATTAGAAATTTAAGTTTATTTACAGACTAAAATGAAAGTTCATAGAAAGCACCTCTGAGTGTTGCTAATAATACAAAAGTGAAATGATTATAACCAAATTTTTATACTCTGACTGTTTTATTAAACTGTTTGGATATTTAATACATAACTATGACATGTTTAGACTAAGAAAACATTTACTTGTAGTGCTAGCAGCAGTAAAGGCAAGAAAGCCATATGACTACTTAGTAATAAGTTGCAAATGACATAGTGATAGCTATGCAA